TTGAACAAAGGCATTTTCTGTTTGCCAGTTGAGAACCTTTTCTGCTTGGCTTAATTCGTCTGGTCCAGCGGAGTTGATGTTGTTCGGAACAATTTTTGGTGTATGCACAATATTATCTTTGACAAAGTCTTTTGGTGGAGGAAAATCCATTCTTATCATCATGAGTTGCTGGTTTGCGTCATCCTTCTTTGTTGAATACTCGACTATGAAGTCGTAGTTGTCTTCACCAAGTGGACCTACTGTAGGATCTCCTTCAAGGTAGCGTTTATAAAGTGGATCCTTCTTTTTTTCTCCGTCTTCTTCGCATTTCATCATCTGATTCATACTACTCTTCCAAACATGCGGTGCATGAGCAGACATCGAAGTAACAATGTCTGTTTTCGTCTTTGAATGGATATACAACAGTTCCATTCTGACCAAAAGCGATTGGTTGAAGATCTTTCTTTTTGACGGGATCATAGAACTCTTGCTCTTCAATTTGGATAGTGAATTGAGTAAAGAGTTTCTTTTGAAAAGACGAACTTGGCTTTTCAAACTTTATCTCCGTGGTTCCATCGCTTCTAGAGTGAAAGCTTACGTCAGATGACTGAATCGGTGCTTGAGATGCTTGATGTATCTTCTCATAGCTTGTTACCCATGACTCTGGCAGTTTTCGTAGCAATTCCTCTCGAGATATCTGTCTCGGGATTTGAATAGAGTTGGGTGCATGTGATGCCGATGTGACTTCAAGGTATAAAGCCTCGTCTGATGCTGGTAGTGCAAGATCGAGAGCATGATCTTGAATTCTGTATACAATCTGATGATGTAGAGTTGCTGCCACACTTTCTTCTTGCATAGGTGCTCCGATTAATTGTAATTGAACCTTAAGCGCCTTCAGGAGATTTGGATCTTGTAGTGAGACATTGAAATTTGGAAACAGTGTTATAAATATTGTTCCTGCGTTCAGCGTTGTTTGTACTGTTCCGATGCAAGCTTGTTGATAGGATTTGAGCCTTGAGTCAAGCAAAGCAATCCGTGCTACAACTGGTAAACCTTTTCGTGCGTGTAAGGTTAAACCGATTCGTACTACACCAAAGTGTAGATGAGTGTAGCCCTGCTGCTGCCATAGCCTTGGGAGATTGTTTAGTTGTTACTATAAGGTGGGTATTTAAAATCCAAAAAATATTCAGAGTTTTGAATTTGTTTTAGAAAAAGTGAGGGTTTTTATCCAATTTTTCAATAAAACAAGTGAATAATTCATAACACACGTCAAATTAATTATAATTATTAAAAATCATTGAAGAAAAATTGTGCATCTTTTGTAAACATGATTTCGACGAAATAGCAATGCAAATTACCAAGGCAGCAATGGAAAATTGTAAGGACGACACACAAGAGAGGCGACTGTTTATTTTTCAAGGCTATGCCATGTGTGTGCACAAAATATTACTTCCCACATACACAGACATACACAAATGCGGTTCTGTTCACTTAAAACTTTCATAAAAAGAATGGAAGATCATGAAGAGTACCTCTTG